TTTTAACATACAGATGGAAAATAAAATCATAAACTAATTTTAACACAAATATACTAACATTAAAAGGAACAAAAAATTAAGGTTTCATATTTTGCCATTTGGTCAATTTATAAAAGAACAATGACTAATAAACTAAAATTATTAAAATTATCTTATCACTCATGATATATAAATTAAACAACTAAAGTGATCTGAAACAAATTAAACTTTCTAAACAAAAAGAATTTTAAAATCTCGCTTCGTTTGAATTAAATTTGTATCTATCCTGTTAGCTGGTTTTTATATTATAAACTTTAATAAATGTTTCAAAAATATCAATGTTATATTTATTTATTTTTCATTTATTAAATTTTCGGAAAATGTATACTTTTTTTCTCCCAACTGCCACATGCAAATTCTTAAAATAATTTTAATATTTTTCAGCACGCTCTACTTTTTGGCTAATTTTAAAATACGTTTTTGAATTTTTTGTAAAAAAAAAAAAATCTACACCGAGATTATAAAGGAACTGCATTTTATTAACCTTCTCATCAATAATTGAAACCTATGTTTCCTTAGCTAGTACACCTAAATTGAATACAAATGATTAGCTCACGTAATGTAACTAGTTGTAAACGATATAATTAGTTTTTATATTAATTTTTACAGGATTCTTTCGTAGTCAAATAAATTAAAATTACAACTGGTTAAATAAATTAATAATTGCTTTAAATTTGGATGCAAATAAAGAAAGCGGAGCTTATAAGTAATTTATTACCTTGTGGTTTTCGGCTTATTTTAAGATAAGATTTTAAAGTGTTTGTCTAGAAATTTATCATTCCGACTTTATACCGAAATCACGTTCTATGAATCTTCTCATCACTGATTCAAATTCATGTTTTCTTTGCTATTGTATCTAAATTGAATTAAAATTATTAACCAAAGGTAACGTAACTAGTTTGTAGACTTTAACGAGGTAATAAGTTTTACTTTTAATAAAGTTAATTTATATAAAATTGTTTCGTTGTTAAAAAATTTAAAAAATATATATATATATTTATATNGCAAATAGAAAAGCGAAGTTTTGAAATAATTTAAATGTTTTTAATCACCTTCTACTTTTTGGCTTATGTTAAAACATGATTTCAAAATTTTTGTATAGAAATTTATCATTCTTTCATTATAAGAGAACTATAGTTTATTAATCTTCAATCATTAATTCAAATCTATGTTTCCTTTGCCATTGCATCTAAATTGAATACAAATTATTAACCCATTTTGCTTAACAAGTTTGTAGTCTTTTCACCCCCCAACTTAAATATTTGTTTTGACGAAGAACAAGATAATTAGTTTTAAGTTTTAATTGGATTAGAATCTAGCTCAGTGAAATATAAATAAAATTATCCAAAGCTCTCAGAAACTTCTCGAGTTAGTACCTATGTATAGGTACAAAACCCTCGTTTATCTGTTGTGTAATTTACTCTTCAAAGGGAATAACAAAATAAAACAGCAATGCATTTTAATTGAATGCGCTAGAATTGAAAATAAGATAAGACTAATGCAGAAATTGCAATCGAGATAATTGTTTAAACGTATAAAAATGATTAATTGAATAATAGGAATGAAACCTGAATTATTTTCTACTTAGTAGTTATGAAGATTTAATTAAGGTAAGAAATTAATTTTATTTCGTTATAAATAAAGAATAATTTAAAACTAATTATTGTTAGTTTAAACAAAATGTTTTGAGATATACTCAGATCATTTAATTGAAAGATGTGCTGTCTAAGGCGTCGCTTTATGATTGGTATCTGCTTATTTAATATTTAAGAAAATATTGAAACCATAGTTCAACTTTATTATTATAAACATGATATCAAGTTAAACCATTATATCAGTACTTTAAATCATTATGAAGTGCATATTTCAACTTTTTATAAGGTGTTAAATTTAACATGTTTTCGTTCAAATCGTACACTGTTAGAAATTTCTGGGGGAAAAATGATTAAATATTAATTTATTTAATTACTTACCATATTCTAACTCAACCATCAAATAACAGTAAATAAAATGATAATCAAACTGTTAACTGTGAGAAAAACTGTTTGTTAACTGCTTTCACCTAATTCGGTTGAACAACCTGAATTTTATTGCACCAAGTAAGCCCCCCCCCCCCTTATGAAGCCCGATAATTCCTTGCAGATCGGTACATTTAAGAGTCAATACCACTCATCTCAGTCTCATGTTCGACAGAACAGGGGTTTGTGTCTCAGCATTGACACCAGAATATTTACCTATTCCCATCATCACATGGAGAGTTTCCAGTATCTTGCCCTCCCCAATATGTGTCCTGCAGTCATGCTAGCTCTGAACAGTTAAAAAACCGTACTCATGGTTTTATACCCTTACTAGTTATAATCAGTGTGATGCCACAATTGGCATTACATATTTATTTTCTATCCTTTTAAATATCTTTGATTACTTAAGCTTATTTTTATTAATAGAATTACATTTAAAATAAATCAAAGACTTAATCTTTTAAAACGAATATAAAATATTTATTCTTCTCTTATAGATCAATGTAATTATTCACGTGCTTCAGAACAGATTATAATAGGGAAGTGCACCTAGCGTCGTATGACGACATTTCTGAACTGGGCATGGATTCTTGCACAATTTTAATCATTGTGATGTACCTTAAAACTCCTAAAAGTTTGTCGCAGCATTTACGCAACACTCTGATAAATATAATGTTTAAGGCTTGTACATTTCAACAAAAAAGAGACTAAAAATGTCATTTAAAAACATCTGCAGTGCTACAAGCAAAACTATTTTAAGTTTGAAATCTCCCACTCAAATGAGGCGCGATAAAGTATTTTTTCCCCAGTATAATCAATTATATTAGAAATGCATTTCACGAATGAAAAAGTAATTATTTTCGCAATAAATAAATGTGTATGACTGGATGACTTATTATCTAATGTCAAAACTTTTGCCAGAAGTTTTATGTAAAGCTGTTAAACATTTTTTTTAAACTCAACAAAAATAAAACTTATTACATATATTAATGGATTTCATTGTTGCTGTACAGAAATTATTTTTTTTCCACTTTAAATAATAAAAAAGAAGACAAAATTTGATCAATCTGTTTATTTTTCTTCTAAATGGAAAAACTTTTTTTCTTTTTCTAGGGTACGCTCTTTTATCGTTTAAGATGTGTCGCAATCTAGGGATAGTTTGACTCAAACGATTGAAAAAGAATGATTGAAAATAAAACAATGAACAAGAATCTCAATACTGACAAAAGACATTAGAAGTGTTTCAAGGTAAAACTTGGTTTCCAGCATTTCTAACAAATTGAAAATGTCCGGCAATGTTGAGAGACGATCTCAGAGAATGCGATTAGATGGTAGATGGTCTTGATTCCTAATTATTTCCCTCTTTCAATCAGAGTAAAATTTCTTTTCAGATTTTCTTTCTTCTTTTTATCTATATGGTGCATTCACTTTTTTAAAGTAATCACTTTTTAATGGGGGATTGATTTGGAAAATTGTCAAATTATATATTTATTATAAAACTGGAGTAAAATTTATAAAAAGTGAAATGTAAAATCTAAGTAATGCTGAAACACTGTAAAATAATTTTACTTTATAACCGTTGTTGAAGAGCCGACCCAATTTTTGGGTCACGAGTACTATTCAACTCCGTGTAGCCTTGTAACTTTGAACCCAATCCAGAAAACAAGAGAGCTCCTGGATCAAGTATTAGGAGAACTTTGCTTTCGTGGAATACTTTATGCTAACCCGCATTTGAATTGAATGGAAAGGAAATCCACGAAAACCTCCCCTGATTAACCTAACGGCAAGAGGACTATCACTCAAGATCCGTCGACTACTGAGGATATTTTAGATCAGTACTGCCGTCGGTACAAGCCGGGTTCAGAATTCGTATCGACCATCGCTGGGATTCGAACCGGGTTCACCTCACTGAAAGGCAAACGCTCTATGCCCTGAGCCACCACGGCTCACTGAACAATTGAGGGATTTAGGTTTTATATATATATATATANTATATATATATATATTGTATGTGTTTGCGCATGTGGTATATAAGTGGAAGAAGCATGGAGAGCGATGAACAATGACGGAATGTGAAAATAACAACACACCAAATAATAGTTTTCTTTTATTTATAGTAACTTTATCTTATAAATTATATATACAACAAATTCTGAAAATATTAGTCAACAATATTAATCTCTTAAAGCAATGGAGTATACAATATTTTTTGTCATTCCATCTTTAGCTAACACAAATAAACTGGATGGTTTGCCCACTCGAAAGCATGCCACTTATTATTGTCCGTGTGAAAAACATGGTGTGCTCAATTCTAAGTCACAAACAGACATTGTTTTGCCTTGCCATTGCAAATATCAATCTAATGGGGAACTTAATGCATTTAAATTGAATTGGCACATCTGTGGGTATATTAGAGATTCGTGGAAGTAACATACTTTCACCCCGGAATTTGTCATTTAAAATAATGACAAATTATTAACGAGGCTAATTAACGTTAATTTAAATAATTAAATTCGTTAATTATTTAAATTAACGTTCTTCATTAATTTTTTAACGACTAATCGCGTGCCGTTGCACAGCGGTGGTGGGTTCAAATTACGAAGCAAAATAACCGGAGATCCAACTTTGAGTACTAAATTATGCGGTGGTATGCCTGGTGAATCCAATAAGTTTAAAATCTCTGTAGGAAAATTTGCAGCTTCAATGAGATCGCAAACTGCATCAACGGATTTATATGTCACCAAGTTACCTGGCAATAACTGTTGTATCTTCAGATTCAATTCTTTAACGTCCACATTTTTTGCTGCTAAAATTGCCCTTTCTGCCAGCCACTCATGATGAATATATTGTGTGTGTACATACATCGTGAAATATTAGGTTAATGAGAGCATCTTGTGAATCAAAGATTGTGCAAAAATCGTCCGGTAGTTTTATGCATCCAGTCTAATCCTTAGTAACTTTTCCATCACCGATATATAACAATTGTTTTGAGAATGTTTCAGCAGATGGATCTTGAAGCATTTGGACGCGCATATTTACTTTTAGTTGAACTTTTTCAACATTACGCCTCAGTGGAGATGATTTCAAGTAAGCATTGATCCCGTCAGCGTACTTTGAACGCGGAATGACGGGAACTGTTTGTCTGAAATCACCTGAAAGGAGTAACAGAGTGCCGCCAAATAATTTGTCATTGTTTTTTATATCTTTCAATGCCCTGTTCAGCGCCTCAAGCGAATGTTTGTGTGCCATAGTGCATTCATCCCAGATGATAATTTTACACTGTTTCAACACTGTGGCCATAGACGATTGCTTTTTTATGTTGCACACTGCATCTGAGTTGTCTTGAATATTTTGTAGCAGCCTAAATACTGAATGAGCTGTTTTGCCTCCATCCAATAAAGTTGCCACAATGCCAGATGATGCAACCGCCAAAGCGATGCCATTATTCGATCGTATTTCAGCGAGAATTAGCGAAATAATAAATGTTTTGCCAGTTCCACCTGGTGCATCCAAAATTCTATTTATTCTAGAGTGTATTTCTAGAGTTTTTTGTCGCAATTATTTAAGTATTAGAAGGATATATTTTTTAAAAAATATTTGACTATGAATAATTTTTTTCATATTGAATCAGACACCTCTGAGATTAAAAATGTATATTTATAATAAAAAATAAGGATTTTAAATTTGAATTTAATCCTTTATTGGAAGATTTTTTTTAAAAGCAGGGTATCCCAAGAGAAGCCATGAACTCGATCCACTTTCTTTAATGAACGGGTTTTTTTCGGTTTTTTTTAAAAAACAGGAATTAACTACGAATGTTAGAATACCTTATTTGTTTTTTTTTTCAATACTGCATCTTAATCATCATATATGTGTTTCATATTATTTTAAAAACAATGCACTTACCATCAGAGATTTAAAATATGAAAGCTATTTTTCTAACTGTGTAAATTTAAGTACTGTAAGCGCGACTTTATTACCACATGACTGCGACTTAAATATAGTCAATATACTGCACCAGTATAGATTTTATGAAATTATTCATCATCTACTTTTTGAAAATTAATTTTTCATCCAGGATTTTCTTATATTGCTTTTACATTTTTTCTTGTGCATTTTATTATTATCTTATGTTTTATAATGTGATACAACGTTCAACGGGGGATTTGGCAAACAGTTATTTTTTTTATCTAAATAAAGTTATAAGAACGATGCTATTGCCATCTTTTGGAAAACTATAAAGCATTCAATGACGCGGAGCCGAAAACAGGAACTCAATGACATTAAACTTTAAAATTGCTTTATGAAAACATTGAATTTAAAATGATATTCAATTAATTTCTGAAAGGAAAAAAAATCGTGTAAATTACCGTACTGTACAATAATGACATTTTTGGTAAAAAGAAGAAAAAAAATGTAATGAAAATCAAAATATAAGGAATTTAAACCATTCATTTGGTAATTTTTTCGTTCATGTGGTAACAGTTTACGGAAATTCTGGCATTCAAAATTATACTTCTTATTATCAATTATTTAGTAAAAATTACTAAATTGAGAAGTAAATTTAATAGAATAAATGGTTTTTATGCCCTACTCTAAAGTATCATGATATCTTGCCACATTTACCAAATTTCATTAATTATAAAACCATACTTTTACGAAATTCATAACAAATGAGAGATTTTAGTGTTTTCGTAGATCCAGAAACACGATAAAATTTACCATATTCAGGCAGTTTTACTTTTTTGGAGCATATACTTTATAATGATTTTTTTTCTCGGAGAGTAAAGAAGCATCAGGTAATGGATGATGTTGGCAGAGGAAACTAAACTAAAAACTAAATGTTCTTCTGTTTCCTGCTTCTTCTTGTGTGTTTAAAGTAAACTCAATCATTCATTCTAGATAAAAGTTTCAAGATAATGTGATTTGCAGTCGCAAATAAATTTTTATATGTATTTTTTGCGTTTAATCGAATTAGATCAGACAAGAGTCAATTTTTTATAAAAGTGCTACTACTTTTTATTTGCACTATGTATGAATAAAACACTTAGAAGCTTTAAATTATTTATCCTATGAACACGTTGCTTATCTTATTCAACTTAACATAATACAAATAAATGTGATAAAATATATTTTACTTGTTCAATTGAAAACTACCAAAATTATTATACCAAGTAACTACCAAAAATGTAATACCAAATTTATTACTTTTGTATCCAAATCTTACGTCCTTAAATAATACATTCAGCATAACAAGACAAGGATTTTATAATTTTTTTATTGAAATAAACTCGTAAGTTTCAAATAAGTAATTTCAGTGCCTGTACTCCATGTTTATACATTATCTATTGTTTGCAAACAAATTAAATACAAGGTAAAGTGGTGTACAATTCTTATTACACACTGTTGGAAATTTCTCGGAAAAATGCCTAAATGAATTAATTATTAATTGTTAGTTTACCATATTCAAACAAAACAGTCAAATTACCATAAAAATAGTAATTAAACCGTTAACTGTGAGAAAAGCCGTTTATTAAATGTTTTCACTTAATACGGTTAAACAACTAGACTTTTATCACTCCAACTAAGTCAATATAATTAGGCCACTTAGTTTCTTGCATTTGGGTACATATTAGAGCCGAGAGGGCTATTCTGTTTATATCATAACCGACTGAACGGGGTACGTGTCTCAGCTTTGACACCAAAATATATCCTCCATTCTCTTCGGCACATGAAGAATTTCCAGTGTCCTCCCTCTAATGCCGCTACCTAACAAAAAGAATAGCTCTAATGGCCTGTTAAATTCTTTTTTACGGTTTTGAAACCTTGCTACTTGTAAATGGTTATAACAGTAACCATACTAATTGCAAACGGTTTCAAGACCGTAATGGTAAAAAAAATCTTTTTGCCGTAAACTTTGTGATTAAGTGGATGGACAGACTGCTACCGGTTATTTTACCATAACCTTAAAATGAAGAATCTAACAGTGCAATTGTGCCACAGTATGCTTGCCTATTTTCTTTGGTAATAATAATTATACTATTTAAATAACAAAAAACAACAGCTACTTTCTAAAAAGTTTATTTTTCCAGGAATAAAACATTCATTATAGATTGCCTTGAGCTGAAATCCAAGCCGATATATTTCTCTATTCAATTTTCTCTGAAATCGAATGTTGAGAAAATGGTCTGTGATTTGGCAATCCAGAAAAGGAAAACAAACTGCAGAAGTTGCTGATATTTTCTCTTATGGAAATTTCATTTGATAGTCTGTAATCATTTATTTCTTGGGATTTAAATATTTTTCATTCAATTTTTTTCTACGTCAACTCTTTCAATAGCGAGAAAAAAAATTCTTTGTTACCCTGTAGGAAATTCTCAGTAAAAATGGTTCAATTGAAATTTATTTAATTATTATTTTACCATATTCATTCAAACAAGTATTAATAAAATTTTTAAAAAAACGCGTTTTTAAATAAATAACAATTTTCTACAGTCTGTTATAAAAGTTTAAAACAAACTTGTTTTCTAGTTTACAGATAAAATACTTTTATAGACATATTTTTAAAGAATCTCTATAGTATTCTTTTACTTGAGAAAATATTTTTATTTTGTAAAATTTATAAAATATTTATCTATTGCGCTAACTTAAAAAAAAACTGGTATGCTAACCTTTATAACAAACGTGGGTGTAATAGAAGAACTATTTTTAAAAAAATAACTTGGATACTACATCGTTACAAACTTCCAATTTCTTGCTCAAAATGGTTTAATAGCGAATTATTCAATAGCAATTTTTATTATATTCAACTAAGACAGGCAAATAACTATAAAAAGATAATAATCAAACTATTAGGTATGGGAAAAACGTTTACTGATTATTTTTACTTAATATGGTTTATCAACCAGAATTCTATCCTCGCCAACAAGATCCACCTGATGAAGCCATTTTGTTCCGTGCAGCTGGTTGCATACTGTAACTGAAAGGGCTAAAAGGTCTACCTCATGACCGGCTGATCAGGGTTCAAATTCCAGCTTAAATAGCGCGAAACTTGTTCCATTCTTTCAATACATGAAAATGTTCTAGTGTCCTGCGGTAGTCTAGCATTCAATCGGTGACCCTGGACGAAGACGAAACTATCATTCACACATTAATATCATAGCTCCCACATAGTTCTAATGTTCGTTTACGTTTTATTTTAGTAATTTAGAAACTATGCTAGTTGTAAATGGTTACAAAACCGTATAGTTTTATATTTGTTTTTTTAACTGCAACAATTGCAAACGGTGTCAAAACCATAAAAGTAAAGGGATGCTTCTAAATATAAGTATAATGGTGAAACAGATAAACAAACGGTTACCGGTTATTTTACCGTATTTTTGAGCGAAAATTCTAACAAAGTATAATTTGCTTATTTTTTCTTTAAATTTTGCATCAAACTCAATTTATTATGCCTTTTGATTTTAATTAACTTATTAATTATTAACTATAGAGTTTAAATACTTTATAGTCGTAGTTTTGCTTTCATCTATCATTAATCATAGGTTATGATATTTTAAAACTGTAAATTTTTAGTTAATAGTTTGTGAGACTTTACAAATTGTTTACATATGATTCAATATTTTTCAACCAAATTTTATAAAAAATGTATAGTTGTTTTAAAATTTTTGCTTTCCTCTATCATTAATCATGTGTTATTGATATTTTTAAACTGTAAATTTTTAGTTAATAGATTGTGAGACTTTGCAAAATGTTTATATATGATTCAGTATTTTTCAACCAAATTTTAAAAAATGTATAGTTGTTTTAAAATGCTTGCTTTCCTCTATCATTAATCATAGGTTTTGATATTTTGAAACTGTAAATTTTTAGTTAATAGTTTGTGAGACTTTACAAAATGTTTATACATAATTCAGTATTTTCCAACCAAATTTTTAAAAATGTATAGTCATGTAGTTTTTTTTAATGAAATAGAAAAATCCATGCTTACACCTGCATATTTACTTTGGTAATAATAATATTAAAATTTCCAAAAATAGCTTTTGCTTACTAAAGAGCGGCTTTTCCTAGAAAAAAAGTATCTCTACTTTATGCCTAAAGCGGAATTCCAAACCGATATATTTTTCCATTTCTATTCTTTTCTTTTGAAAAGAAACCAAATGATGAGAAAATAGTCTGTGATTCAACGATCCGGAAAAGAATAACAAACTGCAGATGTTGCAGATTCTTTTCTCGCAGGGAAATTTCATTTGATACCCGCACTCGTTTATTTCCCGGAATTTAAATATTTTTCATTCAAACATTTCTTCGTCAAATCTTTCAATTACGGGTAAGAAAATAACAATGATCCGTTTATAAAACAGTTTTATTTTTAACGTTTATTTTAAGAAAAATAAAACAATTCATTCGTGTAATTAAAAAACTTTGCATGATTATTGAAAATATTAGAAGAATATTGCAAGCTACTCCGTATCATGTGAAGTAATATCATGTGAAGTAACAAGTGAAAAATATTATTTCGAAATTGCAAAGTTATGTCATCAAGAATAATTAAAAAGTGACACGACCCACCTTATTTGTTTAGGGTTTACGTCAAGATTACATCAAGATCATACAACTGGATTGATACATGATTACAACTTCAATCAAAGATCACCACAAGGGACAATGATACAAAATGCGGCCAAACAAACAAATTATATAAAATAGGTCAAAGGATCCTTATAGTGCTAGCTGATTATAGGGTAGGAGGACCAAGGACCCTTATTTCTACCACTCCACTTCCACACATTATATAGCATGGCAGATAAAAGCAATAATTAATCCAGATTATTGATCTACAGAAAATGTACAATAAATGGAAATAAAAGTTACAGAAGTCCCCATAGGGGCAAACAGACAGTCAAAAGACCATAGTAATAAAATCAAACAAAATAAAATCACAATGTAATAAAGTCGAACACAAAAAAGTTAAAATTACAGAGAAGTTAAACACCATCGTAATGGAAAAATGCAGGTGAAACCAATATAAAAATTGTAAACAGTTGACAGTGATAAAAAAAACCCATGAAAGCGTAAAATCAAGCCCCAGTAGAAAAGATGAATGACAAATAATGAATAACATAAAATCATTAAAAAAAACATTAAAAATGGAATAAAGTAAGACATTAAGTTAAAAGCCAATAAACTGCTTGAGACACCCAGGAAGTAGGGAGCGCAGGTTCTGGGTCTTATTGCCTGTCTCCGAGTACATCTTCCAGTGTTTGCTTAATAATGGAGATGATAATTGTTCTGCAGGCCAAATTGGCAAAACATTGGTGTTGATTAAAATTGGTAAAGTTATTGTCACGAATTGTCCGGAATTGATGTCATCAAGAATAATACAACACATTCTTGTAATTAAATTAGCTTTTATGCAATTGTTTTAAATATTAGAAGCATATTGGAAGCTATTCCGAATGTCTTGTAAAGTAACACGAAACAAAATATCATTTGGAAAATGCAAAATTTTACCAAGAAGAATAAAAGATCACATATTCATAATAAATATAGCTTTGGTACGAATTTTGTGAATATTTAAACACTATTCAAAACTGTTTTGATTACTATATGAAGACCTAATTAGGAAGTATCATTCAAAAGCTCAAAATTTTGCATCATGAAAAATTACCTATTTATGTTATTCCATTAATTTTGTGTGATTTTTACAGTTATTAAAGCAATGTTGTGAACTTTTCTGAATGCAGCAGCAAATGATTAGAAGAAAATATTTTAAAATATTTTTAAGTTACCAGTTTAACTGAGTAAATAATAAAAAAAAATTTGTTAGTTTCTTATGTATGTAAAGCGATATTGCGAACTATTCCACATTTCCTGTAACATCGTAAATAGAAAACATTGTTTAAATGATCTGTTAATTGCTCCAGTGTTCGAGTTTACAAAAAATACATTTAAAAACTAAATTTATTATCTAAATTGCATGTTTTATCAAGCGAGTGTTAGATTACTATTAACAAATATCACTTAGAGATCAGAAGCAGTGAGCAGTGTTTTTTTTACCACAACGTTTCAAATGGCGAGTGTTTTTGTGTACAGAACATGGAATGCAGCTCTCCTCTTCGGAAAGCCTCTTTTCAAATAACTAAAGTAATCTCATCTATATTGATGCTCTGTACTTATTTTCTAACAATTCAGGTTTATTGGCTGTTGCGAACAGAATTTCATTATTTAAATTACAAGTTTTATCAAGCGGGTATTAAATTACTACTTGCAAATATCTGGATAAGAGCACTTGGAGATCAAAATTTCTAATCAATAATGAAAAAGTTTAAATCTCTGCTGGAATTTGTTGTCCGATAATATTGTAAAAGTTTCAATATTTTTTTTTACCGAATTATTTCCAAAAAGGATTTAATCATTAAAAGAAATCAACCATTAGACTTAGGACACATTTCTGATTAACTAGAAGGCCCAGATATTACATTGAAATCCTTTTAAAATAAAAGTTTTGGAAATTTCTTACTGCTACAGGTAATAGTTATTGCCATATTTTTACCAGAAGGAAATTCTCGTTAATCGTTTTTAGATTATTTGATTATTAGTTAGAGCATTCAAAATTTAACTGGTGTTTTGTGTTTAATGTCAATTCAAGCATAATCCTATCTTTTCCCAACCTTAAAGAGCAGAATTTAAATAAGCCTTTAAATGTTAATGCCATGTTCAAATATGCATAACATATTTTCTAAAACTAAATTATTATTTTATTTAATCATTTTCTCTTTAAATAAAAATCACTTATATAATCGGTAATATTTTTTACCATAACCTTGAAATGAGTTCAGAATCAAAGCTATTTTAAGAGATTACCTCGAAATCTGCCTAACACATTAGCATAGGATTCAAAACCCGTTGCATGGTTACCAAATGCCTCGATTCTCTTAAAATCTGTTATATTATTTTTCAAACATCCTTTTTGGCTAATTCATTTGAATGCTAAACAGTAGGATAAGTAGCCTTGGCAGTGAGATAAACAAGTAATAGCCAATACATGGCTTTCTGAATTTTCTTTGGTGAAAACTTTTCTAACGTAAACATCTTACTTGCTTTTTTGATTTCTTGATTGCCAAAGTTGTTCTTTGGGGCATAACCATGAAGCCTCACCCTCAGGGCAATCTTTAAAATATATTATTTGCTTAATAATAATTAAATACATATTTATATTGAAAATTAAGATTAATTTTTGTTTTGATGGAGTTATTTATATATATTCAAAAGTGAAATATTTTCTTAAATAAAAAAATATCATATCATATTTTCAAAAACAAAATATTTTTATTATTTTATCAAATTTAATACTTCATTAAATTAATTTTTTAAGTTTAAAATACAATTGCTTGTCTGCATCGCTCTTAAATTGAATAGTGAACAATTGGAAATACATCATTAACAAATTCAATCCACAAACTTTCTTCTAGATACATTGTTCAAATTTTAAATGAATTTCTATAAAATTCTTAACATAAAATATATATATNTATTTATATATATATATATATATATATAGTGGTGGCCAAAGGTGTGGACATTTTTTGAAAGTTTCATGTTTTTATATTTTGTATGCTTGTAGAATATATTAATTTTCACTTAAATGCAAACGTTTATATATGCAATTCTACAGACATACATGCCCAAATCAAGACACTTGTTGGGTTTTTTGTAGTTGCTTTAATGCAATCAGGATGAAGTGCTTCACCTACTCTACGTCTTCTGTATTTTCTACCATCACTACCAAACAGCGATATTTTACTCTCATCGCTCCAGATTACTTGCTTCCATTGATTTTCTGACCATTTGATGTGTTCTTTTGCCCACTTAACTCGTTTTTTGCGTTGCTTTTGATTTAAATACGATTTTTTTCATGGAATTCTAGCTTGTAGTCCAAATCCTGATGACCTTCTTCTTATTGTTCTTGAACTTACTGCAATACCCGCTGCATTCATTTCACCTCTAATGGCATCTGATGAAATTTTTCTTTCTTGAAGGCACAGCGGTTTAATTTTTCTATCAGCAGTAGCACTTGTGCATTTTCTCGGCCTGATTTGGCTTTATTTTTCACTGATTTCGTTTTTTCATAACGTAAACGGAACTTTCGTACACCATAACAGGTCATTAAAAAACCAATGTGTTTTGCAATTTCAGCATAAGAGAGGCCATTTTCTCTCAATATGACAATTCGGCCTCTTTTTGTAGATGTCCAATTAGTTCTTTTTGTTGATGACATTATTTAAAATTAGTTTAGTTCAAAAAAAGAACTTTAAATATTCAGAAACAGCATTACTCTATTTAATTGTACTAGTATGCATCATTCCGCAAATTATTTCCACAACAATTACTCTTTTACCATCCAAATAACCTAAACTATAGTTACAGATTGGTCCTGAGAACAGTGTTTGTGATTGGCTAGTACGCTTTTATTACAAAACACGTCCTTATTCAAAACGATTTGTATTTATTTGTTCTACTAAGATGAGCATAACTTTTTTCGTAATACAGATATATTAATTCTGTTTTTGTTATTAAATTTTACATTAAATTACCTTCGATTTGATATATAAACGTTTGTATTTAAGTGAAAAATAATATATTCTACAAGCACAGAAAGTTGAAAAACATAAAACTTTAAAAAAATGTCCACACTTTTGGCATCTGAAATAATATTTAAATTATTTCAGATGTATTGATTTCAAACGAATTTTACTTTTGACATGCGATACTTTTAAACTTAAAGTAAATAATAGATCAGCTCTAAATATAACTATTTATCTCAGTTAAAATGCACACATCAACTGTTTATATCGATTTAAAATAAATGGTTTCCTTTACTCAGTTTCTTTTATTTCAGCTTGTGTTCAGAGAACTCCGTGAATAAAAGCTTGATTACTTGAAAATGAGGCCTGAAATTCAGAAAATGAAGTAATAAAGTGATAGCATTATGCTCAAATAGTTTTCGCTCAAGTACGGCATTTTTTGACAGCTTGCATCAATCACTATTTTATGGTTCTCGAATATTGTGCTCGAAGATAATGGTATGAAATATTAGATTCCAGACGTAAGGCAATATTGCTATATATTTGAGATATCAGAGAAAAATAGAATATTCTGGTATTTTATTTTTATAGATATATTTATGTGTATGTTTTATCAAGAAGTCATTAAAACTATCTACTTTTTATTAATAAGTATAGATTTAAGCAATGATTTATTTTAATTAGAAAATTAAGAAACTGAAACTTTCTTTACTGATTCCTTTATTGGTAATGCTATATATTTGAAAGATCAGAGAAAAATATACTACTTTGATATTTATTTTTATGGATGTATGTTCTATCTGAAAGTCATTAGAAATATCTATGTTTTTATTAACTTATTGATTTATGGATTAAATATTTATTGTGTTTAGAAAATTAAGAAAGAAATCTTGCTTTATAGATTTATTTATTACTATTACTATATATTTGAAATATCGGATAAAAATAGAAATTGGGTAATTTATTTTTATGGATATGTCTATATGTATGTTCTATCGAAAAGCCATTAGAAGCCTCTATGTCCTTTTAAGCTTATAGATTTATGGAATAAATTATTTTGATTAAAAAAATAAGGAATGAAAAATTTCTTTATTGATCTAATTTGTTATTAAAGATTAAAATTTTTCCAGCTTAGAGTGTAGCAACGGTTTAGAGAATTTTTCTTGTTTTCTTTTACATAAGCATTTAACTTTTGAAATAAAATCATGGAAACATGTAATGAAAGTAAAGCATGTTAGAAAACCTGTTAGCCTTGAAAATAACCTATAAATTTAGAAGCTGAAATTAAACAAAAACGTTGCATTTAATAATATGAAATTTTATATTTATAAATAAATTTATTTTACGTAGAAAAAACGTTATTATGCAGTAATCTCCTTTTTTCTAATTAAAAATTTAGCTTTTTAGAAGTATTTATTTTTCATTTACAAAAAGAAAAAGTTTTAAGTTAAAGAAACTTTAAATTTGAAACATTTTGATAAAAAGTGAGATTTAAACATATTGTGTATAATGCAAATTTTAAAATATTATGACCATTTTTAGTTTAAGTTTAATAATATTGTTGTAAACGTCGATTCTTTCAAAGCGTCATGAAATAAGTGATTGCTTTATTGTTCCAATAGAGTTTTCTTTCATCATTTAATTAAATAAAAGAACAACTTCTTAACAAAATTAAAATTATTATTTCAAAAATGTTTGACTTGAAAAAGCATTCCTTACATGCTTTACAAGAATTAACATTTACTACAAACTAATAAATTACCGTTGTTTAACAAGTTTTAAAAAGTTATTAAATTAAAAATTAGTACATTTCCAAAAAGTATCAGATCTTATTACATAAAATCTGTGATTGGTATATGATTTGCATCGAAAAGTGTAATATTCCATACACTTTTATTATATTAAATCTCAAGAATGAGAGACATTTAATTAATTACCCTATTTTTTTAATACTTCCCTATCATCAATGAGAAAAAAAGCTTAATTATCTAACGAAATAAGGAGCGTTGCATCTTAGAAAGTTTAATTATACATGTTAAAATGACACACATATTTAATTAAATTTTTGAAAAGATTGGCATTAATTCTAACTGCATTAAATCAATAATTAATGCAACTAATCTAATTTATTTTCAGGTAAGAATATCAAAAATTAAAATAGCAATCAGAATAAAAATGCACACATTGTAAAAAAATTAATTAATTAATAATGTAAATCGATCTTCTAAGAATATAGAGTTAAACAACGTGATTTTTTGTTTATTAAATATTTAGACATAACCAGGAAAGAAATATTGATTTTTAGTTTTGTTTGGCAAATCCTCAGCATTACGAAATTATATATATTTATGCTGAAAGCATATTTTAAACCTCATTAAATCGATCTTTAACTTTTTTAAGAATATAAAAAAAATTTCATTTTATTTTCGTAAAATGTATTGTTGATCTTAGATTGTATATGCATTAAATGTATATGCATATGTTTCACACATATTTTAAAAGCTCCCAAAATAAAGTGTCGGAAAAGTTAGTACTTTTATATCTTAGAGAAAAAGTAGAAATCTCTTAGGAAATTTTTAGTTTTTTTTATTACAAATATAAAATAAGTGATAAATAATTGACGTTTCTGAAACTATATTTATTTTCTACGAAAGTAGAGTATCTTTCATTTGATTTAAAATATTTATAACCCTGTATTAGACATATAAATTACAAATTTCGAAAGAAAAATATCTTAATTACTTCTTGTTTTGGAAATAACACTAAGAAAGTATCTTTCACAGCTTAACTATTTGAATGATGATAAAAACAAATTCAACTTTTATTTAGATAATTGTCAACTGATTGGTTGTAATATAATCAATTTAACTAAACTATATATCATGCAAATTGATATTTATAAGAGGCGCCATGAATTAGGGAATAACTTTCACAATCTCAACTATTCTTATGATCATAAAATGTATCTATCTTTCTTTTTGATAATGATCAATTGCTAGGTTGTAGTGCAATCAATTCGACTATTAACTACTAAGCTTGCTATTACATATTTGTAAGAAGCATCATAATTTAACGAATTTATTTTCTCTATCTTAACTATCTGCATGATGGTAAATAAGTCTAACTCTCATTAAGCCAATAATCAATATAATCAATTTGACTAAACGGCATAACTTTCTAATAGGTATTTGTTAGAGGTACCATGAATTTAAGAATTGAATATCCCAATCTCAACTATTTGCATGATGATAAAACCTATTTATATTTATTTAAATAATGATTAATTGATAGGTTGCAATTCAATCAATTCGAGTATTAGTTTTTTAGCTATCTGACAGATATTTGTAGGAAGCATCATAAATTAACACATTAACTTTCATAATCATAACTAATTCCATGATGGTAAACAAATTTAGATTTAATTTATGTAGTGTTTGATTGTATGCTAATTAGAATCAACGTTAATAAACTATGTAGTTTCATAATGGATATTCGTAAAATTCATCAAGTATTTTTTTTTCTCCAACCAAAACAACTCCGTTTGTTGAGAATGATTTCGTACAAGGTTTAAAGGTCAAAAATGTCATGTTGATTTTATTGATGTAACTCCACATATATAAAATGCTAAATTTGACCAAAAAATGTTTTTAAGTTATAAAATTATTTGATGCATTTGATTTAAAACTGATGTTTGTTCTTACATATAATATTGAACCTCATTTAATGTGCTCTCTGCCTGCTGAAATTATTATTTCAAGAAGGTGCAGTCTTTTGTTATTTTGTCATGTGAAAACTACCATCTGATTCACTTCCTTATGATTTATTCGCTTTCACTCGAGGCGTTTTATCAACATTGATCCAAGTATATCAAATGTAAATGCTTGAAGAAAAGAGGAAAATAATTCTTAGTAAAAAGAAACATAACTAAAACTTGATGGATTTCATGGGGCCTTTAAAATTTTTGTAAGGCCCGTGAGCAAGTTATACGTTGCTGATGTCTTATTTCTTGCAGATTCTTTATTTATCAAAGAAAATTTTATACACGATTAGATTATCTAAAAGAAAAGCTCTCAAACGTGTTTTCATGAATGTAAAAAGTCAGAATACCCAGAAAACTGCATTTCATTTTCAATAAAATACTCTCGGTTTCCCTGACGATTGGAAATTCTCTATTACAGAAGATTAAAGAACTTAAATAAGCCTTCTAACGCAGAACCTAGAGTTTTTTTTATGCTCAACCCTTTTAACATTAATATGAGAAAAAATATTCTTCGAAATAGCGCTTTGTTGGGATACTGCTGTTTATACTCATTAAAATAGATGCTCATTTAGTAGTACTAAATACACAGGGTGGCTAAGTGAAAACGGTGTCTATGGAGAGCAATTTTCCAATAAAACTTTCACTAACCGAGAAAAAATTACACGCTAAAAGCAAACATCTTGAAACAGAAACGCTGAATTTTATTACGTCATAACGCATATTCATAGTGTTTTTAATTTTTGTCAAACACGAGTTCGAATCGTATCATAATGAATTCAACTGTAAAACGAATTGCAGTAATTGCCTCGTCCGTTCAAATCCTGATTGCACACCTTTATTCCAAAAGTATTTTCGATTTAAGTAATAAAGTTTTCAGATTTTTATGCTATTTTAGCATGATACTGAATGGTGTTTCTGTAGCGACAAATGAAG